AATACCTTCACGTGCCCCACTCTGGCACCCATGCTAAGGGTTGCCTACCCCTGACACAAACTTTTCTCAGTATTATGAAGCTGTTGAGGGGTAAAATCATTTTCCACCTTGCTTTCCCTGTGTTATAGCCTCTGTGAAGTGTTTACAAGTTTATCTAAGCAGGTGTGTGTATGGCGATTAATTAAGATGATCTGCAGTACCAGTAAGCAGTATTTTCATAGACTTCATAGACATTAGGGCTGGAAGTGGCCTCGAAGATCATCAAGTCCAGCCCTCTGCCCCAGGGGCAGAAAGTCAGCTAGGGTCAAAGGATCCCAGCAAGATAAGCATCCAAGCATTTCTTGAATGAGTCCAGAGTAGGTGCCTGCACCACTTCTGGAGGGAGTCTATTCCAGGTCCTGGAGGCTCAGACAGTAAAGAAATGTTTTCTTATGTCCAGCCTAAATTGGTCTTGGAGGAGTTTATGACCATTGATCCTTGTTTTTCCTTAGGGCACTCTGGTGAACAGACGTTCTCCCAGGTCCTGATGTACACCCCTTATGTACTTATAAGCAGCCATCAGGTCCCCCCTGAGCCTGCGCTCTTCCAGGCTGAAGAGCCCCATGGCTCTCTTCCTCAGCCATGAGGAAGACTCAGAGAGAGAGAGAGAAGAGCTGGACCATCTGAAACATGCTCTCTCTCTCAAAACTCATTATCAAGGAACTGCCTGCCTCCAGAGGGAATCTCCTCTGGATGATACTGTAAGCTACCTGAGATCTAACTAGATATATAGCTTGCAGTAACTCAGATGCGTGATCAAAGGCTCCCCAGCCATGACAATTTGCTCTATGGGATTTCTCTGATATTGCTCTACCCTGTACCCTATTCCAACCCTACCCCTTGTAACCAATACAGTTCTCCTTTGTACCTAGCATGGGAGACTTATTGGGTGTGGGTCTAGATTATGCCTTGGGGTCCCCTTGGTTCGGCTGACTAAGGGAGATCACTACTTGTGCTTCCAGCTGAGGGAAGCACCCCCAAGTGCTTGAAGTGAGTCAAGTACCTTCGAGGGCTACTAGGCCTGTGCTACCCAGGGGACACAGAGACAGAATCAAATCCAGCCCTGGGTGGTGGCGATTTTTACCCCAGGCTAGCGGATCTGCTCCAGGAAGGGGGTCAGCCAGACGTAAGGCACCCCCAGGGAGGAACTCGGAGCCTAGAAGGTGGTCGGGCACAGTGAGGTGGGTGGCTCAACACAGAAGCACCCCTACTGGCCCTCCACAGAGCTCATCCATGCACGTGAGGAAGCTTTGTGACCGATCAGATTTGGCCGAGTGCTCTTCCCATGAGATTTTAAGGAAATGTGGGGTGAAAATTGTTAGGAAGCCAGGTCAGTAACGACATGTATATCACAACTCTGCAGACAGTCCTTACACCAAAGGACAAGGCAGGAAGCAGAGACAGTAACAATTTAAGAAGGCTAAAAGAAGGCCAACAAGATATGAAGTGATGTTCTAACTTACACTTAGGAATTAATACTTTTTCCCATGAAACACAGGAGGATGAAACAGAACTACCTGCTCTAGAACAAACAAAATGGTATCTGGACCTTCTACTGTTAGAGCCACAACAGAACACTTTCTGTACCTTACTTTCTTCCCACAGCCATGACATGAAATTTTGCGATTACTCTTTAAAATTTTTGCTTTAATATCCTATGCCCCCTATCTTAATGGTGACTTACTAACACAATGCATTTTAATCTACATCTGAAACAGAATTTATTTACTGAAAAATGCTATGCTTTGTAACACAAAAAAAGCCTAAGATAAAAAAACTTTATATAAAATATCTCCCTTAACATGCTATGATAAAGTGAGGTGAACTCTTTTATACATTACAGCTAAATATAACTTCCAACATGTCATGAAAGATGGAACTTTAAGCAAAGTATTCAGCAAACCACAAGACAAACTCATTTCAAAAGTACTCAGCTTTCCCAATATCCTATTTCCATGTTAAATATGTTATCAAAATCTGATATACCGAAAGAGGGGAAAGGGAGCAGGATTCCAGCTCACTGCTCTTGATTTAACGATGCTAGTACCCACATTTACATACCACTCAGACACCCCTTTTTCAATAGCTGTGCACAGCGTTATTGGGGATAGCCTTCAAGGCTTCCTAAACTTCCATCTCTCCATACACATTGAGTAGATCCAGGACTTCTGCATGGCTTCTAGCAGTTGCACAAAGCATGGCACAGTAGTACAATCTAAAAACACTAATTATGGAGTGATTAATCTGACCTCACAAATGGCCCAATCCCAATGAGAAATGAGCATTTAAAACAGAAACATTATAATGGTCAAGAGAATCGCACAGCAGTTAGAAGGGGCACAAGTCAATCCTGGCAGATGACAAATCAGGGTGGGATGGCAGTTAAATGACTCTCAAACTACTGTAGTGATGTACTCACAAGAATATTAGTCCTCATTAAATTAGTGTGTAGTAAACAAAATATAATTTTAAGCAAGAGAATAAAATACCTATAATCTGACCAATTTATATAGACTAAAAATTGTATCCTATAGAAACCAGTCATTTCAATGTGCATAAACTATGTTTAATGCAAACTAAACCACCCTGAGTAGATTAAGGCCCAAGTTTACAAAAGAATAGCCCTTGCAAAGAAATTAACAGAACAAAACTCCCTTCATTCCAAAATTACAGAATATTTCCTAATTGTGTCGCAAAGGTCAAGGATAGCACAGATGCCACAAGTGGCACGGGCAGCCTCTGTGTGGCACATGGCAAATAAGGGAGGGAATAGGGGTGGATGGGTTAAGAGCAGAAAGCAGAGCAACAAACTATCAGGGAGCACAGGGCAGGAGGCAGAAAGTATAGGAGCACATTAGTCAAGGGAAGTGAATGGGAGTGGCACAGCTGCCAAAAAGATTGATGCCTATTGACATAGATTATCAAGTAAAACAAAACACACAATGGTTCCCACATTTCGCACAAGTTTGGACTTTCAAATAAGAGCATCATAAAGATTTCCCATTTCATATTTGGATGTGTGTGTGTGTTTAAAGGGTGCCACCATACTCGATAGGACATTACACATGTTTTAACAGTTTGAGTTACAGAAATATTATTTAACTCCATTATTGTATTTCTATCTTGCAAATTAAATTCAAACAGACTTTGCTGGGATACTTTTGCAATGTCATAACTTGCTCTTTCAACTCTAATATCCAGTAAGATTAAACAGTTGGTGTTGCCAACTCTCACACTTATCATGAACTGCAAGATGGTTGGTGTATTTTTTCCAAGATGAAGACACACGACTAAAATGACAGATTCTGCCCTTGAACATGTAGCTGGAATACACCACAAAAGTTAAGAAACCAGTATGCCAAAAAAGGACTCCAATATTTATGTGTTTAATTATTTTAATTCCAGTTGAAGGACTGGGTCTTTTTTATATTTAAGGTTAGTAATATTCAAGACTAAATATCAGGGAAAATATAGGTCACTTGAATATTATTTCTATTATGGTTCAATATGTGACAAAGACATTTAAAATGCAGTTCGTGCATGCACATCTTTTCATTTGTAGAAAAACTCTTAGAATAACCATTCCCTTCCCCCCACCACCTCCCCAAGACAATTACTGAAAAAATCATGTTCTCTGATTCCATCATACTGACATTCAAGCAAATGCATTATGGATCAGTAGGGTCTCACAATGTAAGTTGGTGGTAAAGACAAACTTATTTACCATATTAATTAAATGGTCTATTTAACACGGAATATCAATTCTCTAATCACATCTCATTTGAACTTCTTATTTCAATTAACAACTCTAAAGTCTACCAACAGAGAACCTACTGTTCTAGGATCATTAAGAACATTTTCATTATCTGTCAAATGAGGGAGTAAAAGGCAGAAACTGCAAGCACTCTCAGGAGTAGGCCTCTACCCTACTTAAGAGATGATTAGGGAGTAAGCAACAGTAGTACTCATTAGTTGCTTAGCAATGAAAAGATTTCCACTGAAAGAAAAATGAAACAAAGCAATGGAGGTGTTGCAATGCAAATCAGTAAATGGATAGTCTTTCATCCACTCAAGGGTAATCTCTCCCCCATTAAATCTAATCAATCTAGATTAAGACATTGATGGACATTTCAAACAGAGGAGTGAAATTAGGATTGTACAATATATACTCACACAGAAAAATCAACAGAGCAATTAATGATCCACATAAATTTATGCATGCATAGTAATTGTTTTCATTATACACATATTTGAAAGGAAATCAAATAGAATGGAAATGGTTATTTATTCTACTTATATTCTGCCCCTACAGCTTCTCAAACGTTATGGTTACTTCAATTTGTTTAACAGTCTATACCGCATAAGCAAGAAAATAGTTTGGGAACGCAGAACAGAAAAGTGAAGATCTGTGTACAGGTGACTTATGAAAGCATAAGCCAGTTAACTTTTACAATAACTTTTTGGTACTGATTTAGCTAGATCACATAATGTAAATTATAATAGTAATAGAAAAAATATTCTTGGACCTTATACAGAAAAAACAATCCATTTAAAAACAACACTCAGATGCCCTCTTCTTAATGATCATATGAAGATTAAATTACACGTTATGGAAGAACATTAGGCTATACCCTAAGCAGTTTCAGTACCAATTCAGCAATCTGATATATACCGGAATTCCTTTTACAACTTCATTAGAACTATACATGGAGGAAGGTTTAGAATACTCTTAAAATCAACTAGATATCTACATAAGTCAAGTTACTGGATGAAGGCCTTAATCTATACAAATCAATCATTTTGCACACCACCTATTTTAAACAAATAGTTTATATATAAATAATATAAAAGTATATTTAGAAGAGGCAGATAATATACAGTAACTTTTACCAAACAGATTAATATGCAGATAATATTAAAATCCCAACCAACATGTAATAAAGTATTGTGGCAAATCTTACCTATATATTCACAAATGAAGACCACAAAAAAAGGAGTAACTAGATCATTTATTCCCTGAACGTATCCACTGGCTGGATGCCGTATTGCCCAGATAAACAAAATTCGTTCAAAGATCTATGGGAAAAAAAAGTTAAAGAAATTATGAAGAAAACAATTTGTCAAACAACTAAGCACATTTACAACAAGTAATTTAAAAACATGCAAGGACAAATGTAATATTAGACAGTCCCTAGCATAAAGAGCATGCATATAGAAGCATAAATGAACACTGGTATTAATAATGAACTGTCAATGTTAATTACGTTTCTCAGTTATTTAAAAGAAAGTATTTTCAGGATATTAGCACAGGCTAACACCAACCTCATACATAGTTAATTGGTTACAAAAAGAACTTTGTTCACTGAAACATTTAGAAGAGAAAAAAATTCACACCCTCCTCCCCAAAGTTTTACATCACTTTTCCATGACCTACCTGCCTCCAAAGACAAAAAATATTTAAGAACTATATACAAAACACCCCCAAATACAATGCACACCTTATTTTTGGAAGGTTAAATGTAGGATAAAAATATTTCCAAAGTCATGGCTCTGGTCTGTGTCAAAGTCTGGCACCTTACTCTGTGACCAAGTAAATCCTCCTGGAATAATATAGAGTCTAAACAAGGTGAGGTCCCAGACCTTCAGCCAAGGGCAGTAGCAAGACTATTAGTTCTTTACTGTAATTAGTTCTTGCTGTGAATTGAGGGTCTATATATATATTCTGCACTTCATCAGCACAAGATACTGCCCAAACTCCATTATCATGTTGCTGCTTGCTGCTCTGCTTAGTGCTAAGGTTAGTTCGTTGTTGGTAATAAAGATGGTTCTCCAATGTTCTCTCTTGCACGATCTTTCTGGGACAAAACCCCACAAATACAGAATAGTGACAATGAAGATGGGATCCCAGTGAGTACGATGCTTCCAGTGCTTCAGTTGAGAGAATAAAAGGAAAAAAAGAAAAAAACCCAAAAAACTTTGCAGTGATTCATGCTGTAAGCAAGCAGACTGGGGCTCTTCTCCTACCACATTAACATGGCTACTTTGAGCAACACTGAAGAATGTGATGTGTCCAATCCATCCACCTGGGACCCATACACTGACCAGCTAGACTTTGACTAAGTACAGACATTCAAAAAGTCCAAGGCAAAAGCACTTTAAGTATCACACTTTACTCAAAGCGCTCTAGATTAGGTTGGGAGTGAACAGGATGAACATCTGCTGTTCAGTGGCAGGGGAAGGAGGAGAGCTCAGAGCCTGCCTGCACTGGCTGAGGCCAGTAGGCTGGGGGCACTCCCAGACTCCTCCCAGGAGGCTTCCCAAGAATGCCAAGTCCAATTGAGCAGCCAGACATCCCTAATTGACCAGCACAGACCCCTCTCCCCAACCTCCTCAGCCCCTGGGCTGGCTGCTGTCAGCACCAGCAGCTGGAGAATGTGGGAGGAATGGAGGCCTCCATGCTTCATAGACACTCCTCCCCAACCCCAGCTTGCTGACTCGGGTCCTGGGGGGAGATACAGGTAAACATGGCAGGGGACCTCCACCTGTCTCCCACCCCTTTGCCCCAGCCTTCTGGCAGCTTCAGCTCAGAATTGCCCAACTTCCTGTTGCATGGGGAACTGGGGAGGAACACAGCCCATGCCTCCCCTCCCCCCAGCTTGCTGGTTTGATGTTTGTTTGGTTTTGGGGTTTTTTGTTTTGTTTGGGGGGTTTGGGAAAAGCCACAAAGCTCTAAGCTGCAGCCATCAGGAGGCAAAGCGCAAGGAAACGAAGTCCCCTGCTGTCCAGACTCAGCCCAGGCCCAACCCCAAGCAGCATTCCCTCTAAGCTGCATTATGTGTGCGGACGTGCAGGCATGCCCCTGGCAGCACAGCACGAGTGCACCTGCACAGCCACACATGCCGCCCAATTTAGATGGAACGCTGTCCCCAAGATCTGAGCCAGCAAGCCCAGTGGGACATTCAGGAGGGGGCCTCCGTTCCCATACCCCCAGGTCCCAGCACAGTGAAAAGCCATGCACACCTCCCAGCAGCAGCAGTCAGAGGGCTGGGCAGGCAGGGGGGAATGGAGCTCCCCTGCCATCTGGACCTGGCCTGGCTCCCTCCTGCCAAAACCCAAGCCAGCAAGCTGAAGTGAGGACCCAGGCAGCAGCAGGGCTCTGTTCCTCCCACATGCCGAGTCATGCAAGGAGGAGACAAAGCCTCTTCGATTTCATCATTCTGTGACAGCCCAGGAATGAGGCTGGACCCGTGCTCTCCCAGCACAGAGAAACACTGGCTGAGTCTAGCAGGCTGCCCAGTGAGGGGCCCCTGAGATGCCAGCGGAATGTGACCTATCTTGACTCATGATGGATCTACTTGTGGGGTGTGCTCCCTGGTGTAGTCTCTGGAGGGCCGGGTGTGGGAGCTCGAGGAGGAGATGTGTCAGCTGTGCAGCATCAGAGCCCACGAAGACTTCATTGACAACTACTGCCAGACCCTTCTCCATAAGGAAGAGGAGAAACAGACTGAGATGGTAGCCAACGTGATGGCTAACCAAGACGACCCACCTGGAGCGACCTGGAACAGTCACCTCATGCTCCAGAAAACGCAGGGCCAGGGCAGCTCCTCCCTTGGCCCTCCACAACAGGTACACTCCCCTCCCCATACACGAGGAGGCTCCAATGGTGACAGTGGAAGAGGAGGAAGATAAGCAGCTTGCTGCCACTCCCAAAAAGAGGCGCAAGGTAGTCAGGGGGGGCATGAACGACTCATGCCCCCGGCAGCTGGGGGGGCACAGCGGCAGCGGGAGCACAGCACCAGCAGCAAGCGAGGGAGCTCCCACAGATGCCACCAGTGCTGTCAGCGGTGGGGGAGGGTGGCGAATGCCAGCCAAGGGTCAGAAACTACGTGCAGATGCCACCAGCCAGCAGGGGTCATGGACTGCCCACAGACGCCGCCAGCGGTGTCAGCAGCAGGGTTGCGAGTGGCGACCACCCACAGGCACCGCTGAGTGCCAGCAGCACCTTTTTGTAGGGGATGCAACACCACACTCATGGGGTGCATGTGCACCCCTGTTCACTGCCTATGCCCCGCCCCTCGTGGGGGGGGGGGGGGGGGGGGCGCCCTCCCCATCTGCCATACAGACCAAACAAACTAAGATGGCTGAGGGACAGGGATACACAAATTCAAAACATGTCCAGGGACCAACATACAAGCCCTGTAGATAGGGACACTGGGAGAGCCACTTTTGTAGGAACTGAGGGAACAGTTCTCCATCAGCAGAACAGGAAGACGAGGGCCTCAGGAGGAGGACTCAGGTGCCTATACACCAACACCAGGAGCATGGGAAACAAGCAGGAGAAGCTAGCCATCCTACTCTCCGGTATGATCTAGTAGGGATTACGGAGATCTAGTGGGACTCCTCATATGACTGGAGGGTAGCTATGGAGGGCTAACACCCTGCATAAAAAGGACCAGGTGCGGAAGAAAGGTAGAGGCGTTGCTCTCTATGTGAAAGCACAGTACACACCTCCTTGGAGGCTGATATCAGCTCAAAAAATAAACAGTTTCAAACCCTCTGGGTCAAGCTGTGGGGGGAGAGGGGCAGCAAGAGAGATCTACCTGTAGGTGTATACTACAGACCACCAAACCAGGGGGAGGAACTCGATCTGGAGTTCACCCAAGAATTGAGTGAGGCCACATGTGCACATGACATGGTCGTCATAGGTAATTTTAATTATCCGGACACCTCCTTGGAGGAACATTCGGCCAAGCTGGATCAGTCACGATCCTTCCTGACCCGTGTCAAGGAGCTCTTCCTGATTCAGGAGGTGCATGGGCCAACTGGAGGTGACACCCTGCTAGACTTGGTCCTGACCAAAGGAGATGGTCTAATGACCAAACTTAAATACAGAGGGAAGTCTGGGCAACAGCACCCATGAAATCATCATGTTCACTGTCTGATGTAAAGTAGACAAATCGGATAATATGACTGAAGTTTTGGACTTCAAAAATGCAAATTTCAACAAGCTTAGATCCCTAGTAGGGTCAGGGCTGTGGGACCAGGGACCGGCAAAGTGGTTGTTCCTTAAGGACACGATCCTTGAAGCACAAAGGAAGCCCATTCCCATGTGGAAAAAAGGTAACAGATGGGCTAGGAAGCCCTCTTGGCTAAACAGGGAAATCACAATCCTCTTAAGAAAGAAGAGGCTTATAAACAATAGAAGCTCAGGGCATGCCCCAAGGAGGACTATTCCATGACGGCCCACATTTGTAAGGAACAGACAAGACAGGCTAAAATGCCGACCAAATTTAGATTAGCAATGGGAATCAAGGACATCAAGAAGTCATTATTTAGATATACAGGGAACAGAAGGAAAACAAATGGAAGTGTGGGGCCATTACTCAACAACTCAGGAGAGCTGGTAATCAGTACCCAGAAGAAAACTAAACTCCTGAATGACTACTCTACCTCAGTCTTTCAGCGGACAAAGGGGAAACCATGCCAGGTAGAGTACAGGATGAGCACAGTAGGATTAATTGCCTTTCTACTACTTTCATAGGATTGGTGTATGACCAATTTAAAAAATGAGACATACAGGAGACCCTCGCAATTCATGGGGAATCCGTTCTGGAGAGCCTGGTAAACGGCGAAATCCATGAATACTGACGGAGCTCCCCCGTCAGACCCCACAGCCGCCCCCTGCCCCCCC